AAAAAATCAAAAATTGGCAGGAAGAAGTGCTTTTTGTTGATTTGATTTGAAAAATATTTTTCAAAAGGCCTGTTTCACATAATTTTGTGTTCGTTAAGGGCAGAGCGCATTATGATGCGTGTGGCCGTCTGCTGTTAAAATATTTTATTTTAAAGGGGCGTAAAAGGCATGGCTTTGGATGTCGTATGAAACAAAGAAAATTCTAAAGGCAAATTTTTTTTTTATGTTGGAATTTATATTTAGAAAAAGTTTGTTTTGCCCATGTTTGTAGTCAAGTAGTTTGGAACACCAATTAGTGCGCGACAAATCTTTAACTCCTAAAATTAGTGATTTTTCAGGGGCCCGACAGGCCGTTAATTTACAAATTAGGAAATGTTAGCATGTTATTCAATAAATGATTAAATTTAAAAAATAAATATGGTTAAAGGAACGGATAAGGCAAATGGCAAGATTGTATATTGCCGATGCCGGGTGTGGATTTGTCGCGGAAATATGTAATCTTGCCGTCTGCCTTATCAGTCTCTTTAATAAAGTTTAGTTTTTTAGTTTAATAATTTAATTTAATAACATTCTAACATGTCGTATTTTGTAGCTTAACGGACTGGAATGAATCTGACTGTAAAATTATCTTGTTTTATACAGATCTGTAGTATCTCTGTTATCTCATTTTGTATTTTCGATTTAAAATTTACAGCAATTTTCGGAATTCCGCGATATCCCACCCAATTCGTCGACATTTCTGGGATGCTCTAAAAATAGCCCATTTTCCGGGAGCAATTAGATAAGCCAGCCTCCCCTTGCCGCACCCCCCTAAAAAGTGCGTGTTCCATTGAGGGCTTAGGGTGGGCAAAAATTGGACGTGACAACATGGTGATAAGAAATAGAAAACGGGGATGGGAAAGTCCGGTTTAAGATTTGGAGTGATGCTAGGCTGAAAAAGAAATGATTCAAGATATAATAAGTGTGCGAAAAAATCAGGTTTTCCAATCAAGCCACGTATCTAGATATCGAGGTGGAAATGTTTTTAACAACCGTGTTACTACGTTTTCAAATTAATAAAATTAACATAGACCACACGACCGCATGAGTCTAATTTATCGTGGAAAATTGTGGTAAATTTAAGATCAGAGGCAGATTTATAATTCTGAGTTAGCGGTAATGAGAAATGTTTTAAGTTCTCATGAAACTCCGAAAACCCGTATTTGCTCAATAAAGGAGGTGCCCTAACAATGACCAACTTTCAAATAATTTTCTAAAAATTAATAAACGAATTATAACTCTAACTAAAAACTTAGAAGCTTGCAAAAAAAATACTTCAGGTTCTTCTCAATCGGAAATTCGAATTCCGCCACAATTCGACTATGGTTTCAAATTTCAAAAGGTCTTCAAGGCTTTAGTAATAACTAACTGTAGGTAACCATTTAAAAACTTTTCGAGCTATTTCCATTTTTATTCGTTTAAATTTTCTTGGAGACTCTTAACGTAATTGAATGGAATTCGATTGAGGTTTCGACTAAAAGCAGCCGGAAAAAATGTTTCGACCCTTTACTAAACTGCGAAAACGTAATTTTTTTTTTAATAGAGTTAGCGCCGAGCATAAAATTTAAATTTCCCGGGTCTACAAAACATTAATAATTGATTGAGAAACTAAAAATATATAACGTAAAACCTAGAATCTCCCTAGCTGCTTCGATTTTTATTAGTATAAATTTTTTTGGAAGGCCCATGGAAGAAAACTGGTGGGGATTTCATTGACTTTGGCTTTTGATCGGCCCAAAAAAATGCTTCAACTTTTTATCAATTATTATTTTTATCCGAATTCCGTTAATAACGCCCATTTAGTGAATATCCAAACATTTAAAAATTCTTCAAAACATTAATAAATTAACCAAAGACAGACTTATGGGGGCAGAATAATTTTAGTTACTTTCATTTTTTGGAGCTAATGGGAGCATCATTGATCTCGCGTCAAAATTTATTTGAATTACCATGAAAAAAGAGATGCTTGAAGTTTTTAGGAAACTGCAAAAGCGCAATCATGCCTAGTAGTCAGGGTTTCGCAAAGTTCGAAAAAATCGCGAAAAACTAATAAAGGAAAAATAAAATAGATAAAAAATAAGCCATAGGTTGTTCTAAAGCACTAATTAAAAAAAACCTCCGAGAAAAGCCGCTTTTGTGTTATGTCACTCACAATTTATCAAAAAGTAACACCGAAACTTAAGAATTTTTATAAGATTTCGGGCTAAGCAAAGCACTTAAATAAATATTGGTTTTAAACTAAATGAACCTATGAGTTTTGCAGTTCGGACTGCGAGTCTACGGAGCCGCGTCGCAGCAGCGTCGCGTGTACAGTCGATGCGGCCAGGACACCGCCGGAGAAGTTGGTAAGATTAAAATGGCATTTTTGATGGGATCTTTTTTTATTTCGATTAGTCAATTAATTGGGAACAGCATTTCCTCCAGGCATTAATCAACAGCGAAATTTCAAAACATTATGCTTCAATAAAACATTATTTTCCAGGAGACCCGGGCAAAAACCCAGCCTGTGAGGCCACTCGAAAAGAAACGCGTTTCACACCCGACTTATGGCAGTAAGGTATGTATTTTGAGTCAATTCACCATCAAAGTCTTTTCGCGATCTTAACAAGAATATGTTTCATCAAAACTTAAAAAAAGATGGATACCGGGTGAACCGCAATTATTGACCGCAAGATGTCAAAGAACTGACTAGAGGCTATCAGTCTATTATTTTTAGAAAATTATTTAATTTAATTATTTAACTTAATTACTTCAATTTCTTTATTTTAATTTAAGGCTAAAATTTGATAAAAACTAGTAAATTGCCAAAAAAACGGAAACCCTGAAGAATAATTTGAATGTTTCGTCTTCAGTCCAGAGCAAGCGCAAATCGGATAAGATTGGGAACCCGAAATAATTTGAGCTGTTTTTCGGTGTTTTTAAACTATTTTAGTTATGTCATTAAAGCAACAGAGATTTAAAAGAATTATTAAATCCGAGTCCTAAAATTCTACTCTAAAAATTGAAAGTAAGAAATTTAGACGGCACTCACGGGCCCGGCGATCACCCCGAGATTACGGTACACCAGAGAAAAATCTGGGCAAAAGCCCCGGAACGACAGGGAGGAATGCACTATTTTATGATTTTTAACTTGATTTTTGGCTCGATGTTTCGTCTATTTATTGGGATAAATTGTGCTATGTGCTGGTATTCAATCAGCAGTTTCGTATGGTGCCACGTTGCGAGAGAGCGAGAAAGCGCGAGAGCGAGTGAGAGAGAAGGAGCGAGGCAAAGAGAGAGACAGACAGAGAGAGAGAGCGAGACAGAGAGAGAGACAGACAGATAGAGAGAGAGACAGAGAGAGAGCGAGACAGAGAGAGCGAGACGGAGAGAGAGACAGAGAGAGAAAGAGCGAGACCGAGAGAGAGAGAGAGAGACAGATAGAGAGAGCGAGACAGAGAGAGAGAGGGAGTGAGAGAGCGAGGGAGAGAGAGAGAACGAGAAGGTCCGCCGCTGAACGTTGAAAATTGAAAATTTTCCTTCAAGAAACTTTGCTAGCCTTCCTGAGGGCAAGGCAGGCTAGGGAACTGGTTATGGATTCCAGACTGATTTTGCACTCAACGTCAATGCCACGAACTTACAGGGGCCTAATTCGTCACGCGATGGAAATGCGGCAATAACCATTTGAAAAACCATGGCTTTGCCTCGCCCGGTCCTTTAAAACACGCCCATAAAACCGGATGGCTGCGAAAATTCTAGTTAAAATTTAAAGGTTTCGTAGTAGGTGCTTCCCGCGCGGTTTTCCTTTGCAGTAATGTGGTCTCGTTTCTGTGACAATTTTATAAATCCGCCACAAATTCTCCTTTTTTATGTTTATGAATTTTCATTATCACGTGCCTTATCTTTGTACAGTAAGCTCATTTTGACAGCGGTTGAATCAATGAATGAATAAATAAAAAAATCAATGTCTGCCTTGCCCAGTCCTTTAAAACACATTCGTAAAGCCATCCAGAAGCAGCAGCGAAAATTCTCTTTCAAAATTAAATGTTTCGTGACAAAGTCTTTTAGCGCGTTTCTCCTTTCTGTAGTAAATTTTATCAATCAGCAGCGGATACCATCACTTTTTATTAAATTCCATAATCACGGGGCTTTTTCTGGTACAGTAAGCTCATTTTGACAGCGTTTGGAATTTGACTCGAATCGATAATAAATGAATAATAAATACGGTAAAATCACAAGTAATAAAAATGTATGTATCAAATAGGTACAGTAAGCAAGGATTTGTATAGCTAGCATTAAATATCACAAATCAAAATTAACATTTTTCCGAAATTTGAGATTTTTGAGGGGGTTTTGAGGTTATCACGAATCGATCACAATTGCGAAGCAATATTTCGAAATTAAAAAAGTTTAGAGGGGCCGGAAACTAGGTTATTTTGCCTCATGAATTTGTCCAGACCCCGTCAACCGAAGAGGTCGATTTTGCCGCTTCCCGGTGCCTCTAGGAGGTCAAAGAAATAAAGGCTTACTGTCAAAATATCAAAATTCAACAATGCCGTAATTTAATTACGAATATAATTTCGAAATGCCATAAGGCCGAAATTTCATGTGTCGAAATCTCATGAGGCCAAAATTCAGAATGTCAAAAAATTTTCCATCGATTGGCACGATTTTCGGGATTTTCGTATGTCAGAATTTTCGACATTATAACTTTTCGACATTGTGAAACTTCAGCATTCTAAAATTTCGACATTCCGTGATTTCGACTATATGGAAATTCGTCATTATAAATCGTCGACGTTGCGCAATTTTTACCCCCTGCAATTTCGATGTTGCAAAATTTCGACCCTGCATTTTTATATTCCGGTTCGGTAAAATGAAATTTCGACATTTTGAATTTCGGCATTTTGATTTTTGACATTATCACATTACCAAGTTTCGAAAATTTTTTTAAAGCAAAACAAAAAGAAATGTTTCCTTCAAGAGCTGAGATGAAAATCATAAGACAGCCGTCCCTTCATGCCTTCCATATTGAACGAGGCCATCTGTCCCAAATACTGCGTGTCGATGATGCCGAGTCGCTGCAAACAATGTCTATTAATGCTGGTTAAAAACTAATTTAAATCCAGTGCCCGTTTAAAACATAATTTAGAATTGGAGTCAAACGGACTACTGTACTATGCAAATTGGTTCGTTTCCAGCGAATTTAGTGAAACATAATTTTTTCATGAAATCTAATCGACATGAAAAATTCCAAATGTTTTTTAACTTATATTTTTAATACGTTTTTCGGGTTAAGTTACATTTTAAAGCAATTAAAATGAATCCAAAGGTTAAAAAAATGTTTCATAAAAAATAAAAGATTGTCGAATTCTGACAGGAGTAATTTTAGTAGTGCTCTGTAATTATAAATAGCTTTTGATACGGGGGATTTAGATACCAAGAAAAGGATAAAAAATGGGTAGTAGCTAGAAAATAGGCCCACCAGCGTAGAGATAGCTTTTACAATCTCTCTGCTAAAAGAAAAAGGTTTCAGAAAAAATTAAATTGAAAGTTTTATGTAAAATTAAAAGAGAAACGTTTTAGAGAAAAGTGATATCCCAAAAGTATTTGATGCGGCGATAAATGCCCGCACAGAAAAAGTTAAATTAGTTTGAAACGCGCAGAAAGTGGCAAAATTAAAATAAGACCTGTGATCCTCAAAGGGGGAACAACGTATTTAATGCATTAAGAACGACCCAAAAATAAAAAAATTTTTTTGAAAAACGAGTTCTACGATGGTTTTGATAAAATGGATTTTACCTTAAAAGTCTAAATTCGGTGTTATTTTTTAATTTACCGGTGAAAGAAATAAAATGTTTCATTATAAATCAGGATTCCGAAAAGTCGGCACCAAAACAATCGGGGTTAGCGGGCGAAGTCGATACTGATTTTCCCGCTAAAAAAATAATTAACGCAAGAATTTTGGCCGAGGTAATGTCGTCGATGCGTTGAAGCGGGAAATTAAAATTAACTTTTTCTTCCGGCGGTTTTAGATGTCCAGAAAATGACAAACAAGGAGCAAATTTAGAAAATTGGCCCGTCAGAGTAGCATAAAAAAGCATTAAATCATTTAATGGGTTAAATGTGCGAACGGCACACGTAAAATTAGAATTTAAAAGGTTAGAATCACCGTATCCCGTTACAATAAGAAAAACAACTAAATTCCAGAAATTGTATCGTTTTGAAGTTTTCAAAATTTTCGCGGTAAGAAAATATGTTTCAACTTTTCCGATGTCCCGAACAAAAAATCATCAATTTGTTACAAAAACATATGTTTCAAATTGTTCCAAATTTGTGAGGGAAATCAGGGCGCTAATAGCTTTTCTTTCGGCGATACAGTAGTTTTTAGCAGTTAATGCGCGCGTTATAATAAGCTACTACCTCTTCGAATCTAGCGTCAATACATGGCCAATAGATTCAATTTGCGAGGTGGAATTGATAGGTGATTCGTCCCTTCATCCCCTCCAGATCCAATGCCACCATTTTCGCGATGAATTGGCAATCGATCTGGGACATCCGCTGGAAAAATTGGGAGCTACGCGACGCTACACTCTACGGTATGAAATTATTTTTTATTCTTGGGAATTTCCGAAAGCATCTCTGCTAGCTTGCCTCGGGCCTAAAAGCTTGAAAATCTCGGTTCATTTAAAATGGGGCAAACTAGCAGTGATTCTTCAAGAAACCTACTGATGGTTGAAAAAATCCCTTACGCCACGGGGTACGGTAAACACTATTTTTTTTGTTTCGAACGTCCCAAATGATCTTTGCTAGCCTTCCTCGAGCCTAAAAAACGCGGAAACGAAAACGACATGCTTTGCGTTGACGGTTCCTTTAGCTGGGTAAGCCAGCAGTGATTCTTGAAGCAACCTAGCACGTAGAACTGTTAGATGTTGCGCTACGCTACGGTACTGGCTACAGTCTCAAATTATTTTTTGGAACCTCCCAAATGATCTCTGCTAGCTCGCCTAGAAAGCTTGAGTTTTGTTTCGATTGGGCTGCGTTGCGTGTGCGTCGCGTGTCCCGTTACACATCCAAAATCTCTAGGAAAGAGCAGACAAAAACTATAGTATCGCCATTTTCAGCCCAGGCAAACTGGCAGTGATGCTTTGGGACGAGCTATTGTCATTTCCTAAAGGCTTTTGCTCTAATGGGGGAAAAGGCCAAAATCAAAATACCGACATCAAAAATCTCGAATGGCTGTTAAAAGGAACTGGTCATCAAGCTAGCGCCAAAGACAGGTCGGGGTTTTGGTTGTCGGGATTTTGTACCGTCGGGATTTTGTATCGTCGGGATTTTGCTCTGACGGGATTTTTCCATGTTCGGATTTTAGCGGTCGGGATTATGTATAAAATATATGCTAGGAGCACCACGAAAATCACTGCTATAATACTGCGCAATCGCCAGACGTGCAACAAATAATATCGTTTGCAAAAAGTATGTTCCAAGTTTTAAAAAGACTAAAAAGGTTATGAGCTTGATAATGGGCGGAATCCAAGCAAGATCCTACCTTATATAATTTTGGAGTGTATCTCTGTGTGTGTGTGTGGATGTCACTTTCGAGGCCCGATTTGAGGGCCTTCCCGTGCATAAAATATCCTAATTCTTCGTCACTCGGGGGAATCGACCCTTCTGTTTCCGATGGCGTGCTCAGAATTTCGATAAAATACAAGTTTACAAAGTTAAAGCTGGTTTTATTCATTTTTGGGGGTAATTTGCATAATGTGAAAAAAATACAAATTTCCTCATTCTTGCGAGTTGCACGCGAGCGTGTGGTGGGGGGGGGTCCCAAGGACCCGAGCTACCGGAAAGCCAAATTTCTCATGCAAACGCACCATTCCAGCGTCCAAGGCCCGCGAAGCGGGTTTTGGGCGCTGGTTAACTTATAAAATCCGACTGCCGCCTTACTTTAATATGTTTTCGGTCCTTAATACTTAATTATTCTTTCAAAACATTAATGATTTTTTACTATGTCTTAACAAAGTAAAGTACCCACAATAATCGATGGGACGACGCTGAGCAATTTTGAGGCGCGGAGGACGCGGGCCGTCGGCGAGAAGTTCGGCTTCTCGTCTTCGATCAACTAAAAGAGCTTTTTTAAGTAAACGTTTTTATGCTTGTTACCATTATTTCCGCAAAAACTGCGATGTCATTAAAGAAACTATTTCCCAATCTTTCCTGGCAAATTTTTGAAACTCGAAAATTTCGACAACTTCCAAAAATTATTTTTTTTGCTTTTCTATTACAAAAATGAAGTCTAATCTTATATTTTTATACCAATATCATTTAGTGTTAGATTTTATTTAGTACCAAATTTGATAATGGATAAAAAAGTTCAAGTTGTTGTTTGGCATTTTAGAGAAACGGTACTGGGCTTTTAGTTCGCGGAGGATTTTCAGCTAGGGTAACCAATTTTTGTACTGTAATCCGATATAGCCCCTAAAAAAATTATAAACAATTTTTTTAGCATTTTACACCGTTTTAAGATATAAAAGTTGCCTAAAAATTATAAAAATTTCCAGACGGTTTTTGACTTTTGAAAGATGTATGAAAAATGACCAAAAAGTGTTAATAATTCTAAAATATTTTCATAGTTATCTAGCCATAAAGACGACTAAAAATCCTAACTAATACCAAAAGATAAAAGCCAGCCCCACGTTAACAGTTGACAGATTGTTCAAAAGTAGGGCACAGTACCGGACAAGATTGCGAACAAATGTTTCATTCAGAAATGCTATGCGTCAAGATCGAAACGCGGCAATGTTCATGGCTACGGCGGCTGAGTAAGTTTGTACTTCCGGTACTTTTGCATTATCGAGGGGGCTGAATCTAGAAATACTTAACAACCTATTAAAAATAATAGCATAGAAAAAACCTCAAACTTCGTGATATTTTGGGCAACAAAATTTTTTTTGCATTATCGAATAAAAGTTTGTAAAGCTGATACGGTTAAGAATAATAATAACAGAACAAAAGCATTTGTACTATTTTATTAGAAAATTGGATAATAACAAGCAAAGTGGTTTCCTATCCTGCATAAAATTGTGCATCCGATAATGCGAAAGAATCACGAAAACACCGAAAAAAGGTTTCATTAAAAAATGATGCTCGTTTGGACCGGACCTCTACAATGGAAGTTCAGTAGGTGGTAGGTACACATCAAATCTCCATAAAATCTCAAAATCAACACTCTTAATGTACCTTTAACAGCAAATACTCGTATCTCCTCCGGGCGTTCCGCGCGATTTCCGCCGCATCGTCCGATAGGCTAACGCCCACTAAAAGAAGCTAATTAGCATAATTCGCAACGAGGAGGGTGGCCAAAAAATTAAACACGACATATATTTAAAAAACGAAATTGTTTGTTTTTGGAAAAATTAGTTTTGGATCGAAAAATTATGTTTCATCGCATTTCTAGTATGCGTTCGAAATTATCCGCCAATTGACTGATTCAGGTATTTTCTACATATCTCTAAATTTAAAGGGATGCCGACGGCCTAGTCAATCGGTTACGCGCTGGAAAGAAAATGTCTCTGCGCCTCTCCCCAGGGCGCGCTCTCTCCCCCCGTTGGCTACTTGCCAATTTGTTGATGGGGGGGGGGGGGGATCGACACATGCCGTCGGCAGCCCTTTAACTAAGAAACCATATTGAAAAATACAGAGTTGACTTTTGGTAACGTTGTTTTAATAAAAACTTAGCATTTTTCAAAAATACAAAAAGCCTCGATGTTTCGACGAAAGGGCCGATTTTCAGCCAGAATTTCGAATTTTTTAAAAACTTGCCAGGAGCTTGTAGATAGTTTTATACTCGAAATAAAAACACTAAAAATTGGATTAAAATGTGTAATATTGCATTACTATGCGTTTTTGCATTCAGAGAAAAAGGCGTCGTCCCCCCGATAATGCAAAAGGACCAAAATTAATTTGGAAACGTATTTTAAGGGTTAAATAGCGAAACCAGTTTATGGCTTCGATTAAGTTATAAGGGTTTAGTTTATTTTTTCAATACTTTTTTATATTATGTAAGTTTCACATCATCATAGGGAGCACGGATAAAAACGGCTCTTAATATTTGTCTGTCAGGCACTGAAGTAAAACGCACCGGCCGTAAAGAATGTGGCGCATTTGAGGATAGCATATTCTCCCTCGGTGATGCACACCTCCTTGAAGACGGAGATGATCTTCTGGTGGGCAAAGTCGACCATCACCGACGTGTAGTCACCACTTCCGCCATCACTGTAAATAAGAACGTGCCTCAAAAAATAAGGTCTATCTTAGGCTAATACACATTTGAGACAGGATTCTCTGCCCCTTATCCCGATCCAAATTACGTGGAGCCGGCTTCTGCATCAAATACCCTAAAATCTCGTGTATAGTTCCGGGTGAAAATTTTCATATGTACGGAGCGTCCGTAATCCCGTATGACCGTCATTAAGCGTTTCGTTTTTTTTTGTTTCGTGCAAATAACGCCGCTCACGAATGGTATTTTTGCAATTTTGATGGGATATTTGTTCGTATTTCGACTATTTCCAACAATTTGAGTGGTTTAATGAAAGAAATTGCTGCATGAGGTCCTGAGAACCGACTCTTTTGGCTTACATAGCTTTTGCGCCGAATTCTACCCTACGCACAATATTTGGTGTCATTTGTATTGGTACGGAACCAAATTGTACCGGAATTATACACGAGGTTTTAGGGCAATATGCCACGGAATTCAAATCTATCAGCCGAATTGCTAGACACGGAGTGGCAAAAAGAAATTATTGTGAAGAAAATGCGCTAGACTGACACAAAATTTGAAACATGACACGGTATAAGCTAGCCGGTTTCAGATTACACGTCGTCTGCAGTCAATTTTTTTTGCTTAAACTGTATTTTTAATCGTGCAAAATTCAATAGTGGTTTTTGTAAGAGTTAAAGGGCACGTTCAGGGACGTTTTTTGGAAAAAAGCAAAGATTTTCGCGGCGGCCGGGGGTCGAACCCGGGCCCCCGCTCGGAACGCGCGGATGGATACCAGTCAGCCATAGCTACAACCTGGCGAGGGGGCGAGGGGCGCCGCAAAGGAGGGGAGTCGCCTGTCACAGCACGGGTAGGCAGTGCGCGCGGTCGCTGCGTCCATAGGGTGTATACGTTGGGACGAGTACACGGCCCCTCCCTGAACGTGCGCTTTAAGTACAAAATTGAAGGGACATTTCGGTAAATGTCAACGAAAGGATCAGCGACGGAATTGGTCGGCGATTTGCCCGTGGCTCCACTCCTGGACCCAAAATAAATAGGAAACATTCTACTTTTGAAAAACTGCCAAATTGCGTTGAGCCGTATTCTGCCAATAGAAAAGTACCGGGATTTCGACTCAGAGCGGAACAGCTGAAAACCATGGCAAAACAGGACGCCGAGAGCTTTGTATTTGTATGTATTGTAGACGAGGGTGGAGATGACAATCGTAGGCGCTTGGCTCGCGATGAGACGTACCTAAAATCACTATTATTCTAGAGATTTTCAATATTATTTTCTTTATTAAACGACGCTTCTATTTTCCCAGCAACTCCCGTGCCGTAACGTTGTCTCACCGAAATATAAAAGATATTTATCGCATGTTACAATCGCATTCTGATGGGTGCATATTTTTGCATTATATAGGCGAAGCCCGGGTTCTTAATAAATTTACCAATGAAATTAATCTCGGACGAGTTTATGAACTTCACTTTTTGGAGTATTATGAAGTATACATAAAAAACATTTAGATTTTTTTATCTTACATTTCTATAACTACTTCTAAGGGCGATTATTTTCCCTTCGGGCGCCGTATCACCCACCCGATCCCGATCGGACATCAACCAGATTTCATCGAGCGAAACGACCCAATCGAGGGCATGTACCGTAATCCGACAGTATAATTGGCAGAAGAGGGGCACGTCTCCGGCACAGATTCGCAGCTCATCCACCCAGCTCATCTGGAAGGAAATATTGAATAAATTCCAGTTTTGTCGTCTAAAAAATGTGTTTTGAATTGTTACTGTAGCTGGAAGGCTTGGAAAATCACAATTTTTTTGGTGAAAATCTAACTTTTCGCTATAGACCGGGCCTAAGGGTCAGTTATTGAAAAAATTTAATCAATCAAGGAAAGCGCAAAAATTTGGATGTGTCATAAAAATCCCGGAAGGGCGCATGGGAAAGCCGTCGAATTAAACGCACTCAGACCTAGGGTTGTTTCTCGGAACAGACCGAGATTCGGAACTTTCGGAACAAAGACTGGTCGGAACGTTCCGAGATTCGCGTGTTCCGGCTGTTCCGAGATTCGGAACATTCCGAGCTTCAAATGTTGCGGTTGTTCCGAGATTCATAGTGCTCCGGCTGTTCCGAGATTCGGAACGTTCCGAGATTTGGCTGTTACGGCTGTTCCGAGATTCGGAACGTTCCGAGATTTGGCTGTTCCGGCTGTTCCGAGATTCGGAACGTTCCGAGATTTGGCTGTTCCGACTGTTCCGAGATTCGGAACGTTCCGAGATTTGGCTGTTCCGGCTGTTCCGAGATTCGGAACGTTCCGAGATTTGGCTGTTCCGACTGTTCCGAGATTCGGAACAGTCCGAGATTGAGCTGTTCCGAGATTCAAATTTTTTCGCATGTAAATTTCGATTTCGTGTAAATTGTGTAGATTGCACGTAACTGTTTCGATTTTGCCGTGACACGGCAGTGTGGGCGCAACTGAACATCTCTCTAAGGCTAAAAAGAGTCTTTTCAAAAAAGGGCTTTTGGTTTTCGCAAAAAGAGATTAATTCTCGTGGCAACAAAAAGTGCTAAATTCCTTTCAAACTCTTAAAATGCCACAAAATGCGGGAACAACAAAAAGTTGCTGGCTATTCAAAAGCTTAATAAACTCGGTACCATCCCAGATCACAGGTCAGGTCCACAGTTTAATTTCAAGAAAGTGTAGATAGATCATAATACAGAAATTATTTGCAAGCCGAAACCGCTAGAAACTGGATCTGTCCATTTTAATAAGGTGCCAGCAACTTTTGGTTGATCCCACATTTTGTGGCATTTTAAGAGTTTGAAAGGAATTTAGCACTTTTTGTTGCCACGAGAATTAATCTCTTTTTGCGAAAACCAAAAGCCCTTTTTTGAAAAGACTCTTTTTAGCCTTAGAGAGAATTTAGCCCTTTTTGCCTCAATTTTGTTGTTAAGATCATCGAATAAGTCATGGGATATTTATTCAAATGAACCCTTGTACGCAATACTTCAAAAAAATTTGCCTGCGGCGCTTTTTAACGGTACTAAAAACCTTAACGATGCATTCGGGCCAATCGGCAAAAAGGATGTTGCGGGCGGGGTTCGAACTCGGGAACCAAGTCTTCCCAGTAAAGCGTGCTAACCACTAGGCCAACCGAGAGACTGGAGGCCTCTGTTGGGGGAGCTAGACCCGTCCCCCTGTCTGCCGACTGGGGCCGGGGAAGGGGAGGGTGGCGTCCCGTATGGGGAAAGCTTAAAGTTAAAATATCTTAAAGGAGAAGCATTCTTTCGATGTAGTTTCTTCTTTACTTTGTTCGGCAAGGTTTAATGCATATTTGAGCAAAATTTCAGCCCAAACGGACATTACTAACCCTTGTTTTTATCACAATTTAGCTTTTAAACTTAAAAATTAAATATAAATTTTTTAAAAGCCTATTTTGAAAAAAACGCTTCTTCCTCACCTTCATTTACATCAAGCCAATATATGTGGAAAATTTCAGCCCAAACGGACCATGGGAAGGCACTTTTCGACGACTACAAAGGTTTTGCGTGCATACCCACATACAAACGCAGACCCCCCCCCCCTCGAAACGCAATTTAAATCGGCTGTTAAAATTCGAAATTTAACTTTTTTTTAATTTTTAAAAGCTTATAGTATGCAAAAAGTGTCGCCGGTTCCGATGGTGTATTCAGTTTCGCGATCCGATGCATGGTTCTTTTTTAAATCCGGAAAAGGACCCCAAAAGAGTCGTATGGGGGGGTACCTCAAACCAAAAAGGGGTTAGCGGGCTACGCCCGCTACCCCCGACTTAATTCCGTCGATGGTTAGATATTGACTCGGAAATTAGGGAAATGAGAACGAATTGGGGATCGAATCGAATCGAAATTCAGTCGTGTTTGGAAATTTACATGCGAAAAAATTTGAATCTCGGAACAGCTCAATCTCGGACTGTTCCGAATCTCGGAACAGTCGGAACAGCCAAATCTCGGAACGTTCCGAATCTCGGAACAGCCGGAACACTATGAATCTCGGAACAACCGCAACATTTGAATCTCGGAATGTTCCGAATCTCGGAACAGCCGGAACACGCGAATCTCGGAACGTTCCGACATTCGGAACAGTCGGAACGGTTGCTGTTCCGAATGTTCCGAATCTCGGCCTGTTCCGAGAAACAACCCTACTCAGACCCCGAGAACTTAATTTTTTATTTTGATCAAAAACGTAGATTAACTCTAGATTAGTGTTATTTTACATTAGCCATGTTTGCACGAAGTCTACTTGAAATATAGATTGTAGCTACATAAAAGTGCTTCCTAATTAAAGTCATTTCCAAATGGCGAGCTATATGTTTCAGCTACAGGTGTCCGAAAAATGAGGCTTTGAAAGTCAATGAGAGATGATTGAAGATTAAAATTTATTTAATTCCAAAGCAAATAAAATAAAACTTTGTTGTTAGCCGCATCCGCGATACGCAACGCGCCCGCTCTCGCGCATAAATTTTATAGTTTGCTTTGTTTATTTTGTACTGGGTGGCCGCCTCGCGTTTTGCAATGTGGCCGCAACTCGGGATCCATATAAAAATATGTTTTTCCTAAGTAGGATACAGGTTGACTTTCGCTCGTTATTAAAAACGTTTCAGGAAATTACGGGTTGGCTGGCTTGCTCGAACCCGACTTTATCGTTGATTTGTAGGAATAATTTCCCAATAAAAATATTTTTCGCTTTAATAGACTGTGTTGACTGGCGTCAATGTTTCATCAAAGCTACGGAAGGGCGAATTCCACAACGGCTAATTGTGTTAAACATCAAATTTTTGCGGAGACCTAGGTTAACCCGGCATCAATGTTAATTTAGCTTCACACTTAGATTTGTAACGATGTTTGATAGCTGACCCAATTGTGAAATGGCAGTCGATATGTTTCAGGTAGAAATGTTGTGAAAATGAGGCTCTGACAGCTAATGGAAGATCGCTTTGCGCTCAGATTTCCCTATTTCAAAAGCCAACAGTACGGAATCACTATTGGCCCAGGACACATGGCTTTGATTTTTGCCGCATCCGCGACAAGTAACGAGCCCGTGCCGGCCCTTAAATTTTTACACGTTACTTTTTTATTTTCTATTTTGCCATAGGCTTGTGCGTCGCGTTTTGCGGTGCGGCAGCAACCTTGGGAATCGATGTAAAAAATACCTTAAAAATACCTTAAAAATGCAAAGTAGCCTACAGGTTGAATATGGCTTGCTTTAAAAAAATCTTTGAGCAAAACTATGGGTTAGCTGGCTTGATCAAATTCGACTGCTGTTGCTGATATGATATGACTGATGCCGTATTCCAGCGCCCAAGGCCCGCGAAGCGGGTTTGCTAGCCAGCTACGAAAGGGCGCATGATACCACAGGCGAATTCGACAACGGTTCTACAGATAAATTTTTATTTTGGTTTAGAACGTCAGAGCCAACAAATTTTTATTTGACTCGTGATATGTTTCAGCTAGAAATGTTGCCAAATTGGGGTTTTGACGGTTAATATGACCCAAATCATTTCAGAATTGAAAATGCCATTAATTCCAGATCAAAAATTCGAACAATTTGTTTTGGCGTTGCTTAAAGTGATAAAATTAAAATTTGAGTTAAATAAAATAAAATTAGATTTTTAGTTAACGAAATTAATTAAGTAAAAGTGATGGTGCCAGGCAGCCTACGCTAAAATCTAAAATCTGCCCACATTTGACAATTCTATAGGAGACGATTTACCCTGATCATTCGGTTATTGATTTACAAACAAAACTAGAGAAAAATTTTAAGGATTTTCGTGTTTACAAAAAAATGTTCTAGCCAAACTAGCGCTAGTTGCATTAGTCCGGATAATAATAACTCTTTGTTTCGACTGAAGTTTTCTAAAGAACAGGAATTTACTAAATTTCCAATGAGAGTTTTATAAATTGGGGTATTTAATTGGGCCTATATCCCAATAAACCGCACCTTTAAATTTTAACAGCTCGACGATCTTTAAAGAAGAATATTAATCCATGTTTCAAAAAGCAGTCCTATTTCGGCTAATGACTAAAACATAATTGGTTCGTCTCTGTAGGTCGAGAATGCGTAAAACCCTAAAAATCGAAAAACTGACGGGTGTCCTGGGGCATACTTTCCCGGGGAATTGCAACGCTTCCGCCAGCTCCATGTCCAAATTCACATTAAACTTTGTGAACGTCGAAAATTGGCCCGTGTCGTTGTCGCAGAACCTGGAAAAATATGTTTTGGAAAGTTGCAGGAAATCGTGTTTTAAAAAATACTAATAGGCCCATAAAAGTATCCAGTAATTTCGCCGGATTTCCGAAATCCGGATTAAGTCAGCCGGTAAAATAAAAGAAATGTTTCATAAAAAACATAAGGATACGCTATATCTGGTACATCAGTCCTGGCTAATTTTTTTGTCACAATAAAAACGTGTTTCAGGAAAAGGGCTAATAGATCGATATTTCTTTTGATATTTAAGCCACTAGTTGAGTCTCTAACACACTCTCAAATATTAGCCGAATAGGTAGTTGAGGCCTATCCCCGATTGAACATAATTTTAAATTTTAGATTTCGATGCAATTTTATGTTTTAATACCCCAATAAAGCTCCAGAAAGTAAGCGGAAGTTCCAAAATAATTAAAGGCAATTTTTGAGCTATGGATTTCACGGCTCAAAATTTTAAATGTTGGGCAGGAAAGAATGTTTTAACTAAATTTTAAACATGACGGGAGCCCCAAAAATTTAATCTGGTCCTTGCAATGTGAAAATTAATTTTGTGTCTCGCTTGCGAAATCGAAGGTCCATTTTCATAGGGCAAAATCGGTGTTTCGAAAAAGTTGTGTGTTTTTGAAATTGTCTAATCGCTCAATGGTGGATATTTTCGATTCCATGATCGCTCTAGATGTTAAATGATAGAAAATGACAACAGAAAGCAAAAGTTGAAAACTATTTAATTTTTACATTATAAAGCTTTGAAAACAGATTCTATGGACATGAAAAATCGAAGCAAAAAAACCCGATATTGTTTATTACATATTAAATAAAAATTCAACAAGCCTCCTTTCATTCCTTTCCATAAAAACTTTGTCGTCCTGGCCCCCACTAAAAAAGCTTGCCGTCGAATTCGCCACAAAATTGGTGGGTTTGAGATTGATTTTAGGGGTGAATTTTCTGAAACATAGGTGCTTGGACGCCATATTCCCGGTGACACGGTTAAATTGAATGTTTCAAAATATCTGTTTACAAAGAAAATTTCGGATCTTTTAATAGAGAACCGTGATCGAATACTATCCGAGCGCCGAGCGCCGTCATCCGCGAAGCCTAACCTAACAAAATTCTTAGCGTTTGATAGCGTATTTTGGAGCTGTGTTTAGTAGCTTTTGTGGATTGAGAAGTAGAACATTGTTATAATTTTTGTTATCCGCTTGTCTATATTTAAAACCGGGGTAAAAATCGATCAAAAGGTTATTAACTGTTTTGACCGCACTGTGCGATAGGCCAAAGCGGCTTGCAATTCCGCAGCAACAAATTTTCACTTTTTAGCCCAGTATATGGGTTTTTACCTAAATTTGAAACACAATTGGCCAGTTTTGAATTGTTTACTGTACGAATTTTTCTGAAACATTTTTCAACTTCTTCACAAAACGGCAATTGCAAAATGCATGTTTCAAAATAGCTGTCCACAAAGAAATTTTTAGATGTTTTAATTCGCGGGAAAAAGGATGCTGGCATACAAACCTAGCGGTTGAGTAGTTTTTGCCTACAAAAAAGTCGGAAAAACGGCAGTTTGTAAATAGCACCCGATACGCCCGGTACGCCCGTTTCGCGATAGCAGAGAAAGGGGAGAGAGACGCAGAGAAAAATGTCTGCATTCTCGCGCCAAGCAAAAAAACAGAATCGGCAAAGCCGATGGATATGCCTTGCACGTTCTTTTAAACAAAAAATACCGAAAACGAATAACGACGAAAAAAGTCTATAAAAATTTTCCCACATGAATCCACTAACCTCTCCACTCCCAACAAATGAAACGCAATTTTCGACGCGTCATCCAATTTTCCGAGTTCCGCGTGGAAACCCCTCGACCGGGCTGCTGATTTCTGAAATTTTCTATTTTTTGAAGGTATTTTATCGTAAATTTGTTGGTTAAAGGTGCCTTCATCTAATAAAATATACCTCATTGAAATAGGGTACTATCGATAGATCGGGCAGTCGATCTTCCGCTTTTTCCTTTCCGCTTAATATTAGTTGTTTTCGGCGGCCGACGGCTGGAATAATAAATTTAAAGATTTAATTAAAAGAAAGATTCTAGGAATGCCGATTTATTCAAGTTTTAAAAAGACTAATTAACGAGCTAGAGAGAGAGAGAGAGAGAGAGAGAGAGAGAGAGAGATAGACTGAGAGTGTGTGAGCGAGTGTGAACGCGCTCTCATAACAAACCTTCCGGATTCATACCCATCTTCAAGCATTTCTGGAAACGGCACGCCCGACATCGATCTCGTGCTAAAATTTTGTATCCTTTTGACCGCCTGCTTGCGAAAATTAGGAAAAGCCAAAACCCTGCTTTTCTTCAAAACATACGTATTTCACAGTGCCCACCACGCTCGCAGAGAAATACTTTCTTGGCCATTGATGTGCGCAGGAAGAAGACTTTACAAGATCTAAAAAGACAAGGATTTTTTAAATTTGAGATAATGCGTTAGAGGATTTTCCACAAAGCTGATGTGTTTCAAGATCCTGTAGCTAATCCACCCGAAATTTCACTGTAATAAGACCACACAATGCATCCTAATTTAGTAAGGTAAGCATTTTAGTAGCGCATTTAATAAAATCTAACTGTATTTCAAACGGGAAAATCGCCAAATAGAAATAAAAAACGAAAAGTATTCTGCCATTTTGTCGAAAATCGGCATTTCTACACTAAAATCTATTTTTCAGTAGTTTTTCAAAATTCTAAGATTTTCACGTTTAGGAATCCTAAAAAGAGAGTTAGAAGCCTATGAAAAATTCTTATAGTATAGAAATTGGATTTTGATTAAAACAGTTGATTCTCCAAAAAATTCAGGATTGAAAATTCAAGTTTCAGAAAAGCGTAATGTGTGCGCCACTTGGACCTTTAATATTCATCGAATAGATTAAGAGTATCGAATAGTATATTATAGAATGGATCCTACTATAACCCACCCGCACGTCATTGCCCCGTAGTGTAGCGTAGCCCCCGGTCCTGTGCATATATCACACGCCGTCTCCACTGCCACCAGAAAATCGGGAGGTGACGCTGAAAATTTGGGGGTTAAATGGGCGTCCGCTTCCGCTTAATACGCTGTTGAAAGTACGATGTACAAGTTTACGAGTTTAAATTTAAATAAAACCAAATTTAGCCGAAAATCGAATTTACGAAGAGGGCATTTCGGACAAGAATTGGTTAGGGATTTCCGAATCCTGATCCTGGAAAGGCTAAAACATTTTTTCAACAGTTAAAGAGTTCTCATTTTTAAGGGGTCCGTCACGGCTGTTTGTTGTAAAGATCGATGTTTCTTAATTGGCCGGTTTATCAGATGTTTGAGTAATTTTATTTTAATTAGCTCCAATCAGTTCAAGAGTCTCGAATGCATGTAAAAATGTATTTTAATGAAACACTACTTTAAATTCAACTGTGTTGAGCGAATTGTGCGCAATTTTCCAAGGGCCACTGTATGTTGGCCAAACCCTTTTTTGTAGAGTTTGCAAAGCTTTTTAAAAGAGCCGTAAGCCCATGATTTTGAGGCCCGAATTATCCAATTATCTCCAATTTTGCGATTCGCGATTCGGACCAAAAAACCAATTTCCGGCTGTATTGGACCGAATCTTTCGAAGCAAAGCCATGCTCTACGCAAAACATTTTTTGTCAAAAGTAAAAAGCATTTGCTTTGAAAGGTGAAGATCATTCTATTGATGTTCGAATTTTTGGTTCCGAGTGCCATCGGTTTGAAAAATTCTGATTAACAGCTCTACTTTTTCCATTTTCGATCGATACAGACAGTAAAAAATTTAAATCTAAAACAGAACATTTGATTCGTGACGCGTTGATCAAACTACTACCAATATTCTACAAAAATTTTGAAAGCACAGCTGTGCTTTACCCGAAACATTTCTTCTCAAACATAAAAAATGTTTTTTTTTTGTCAAGGGACCGTGAAGTGCAAGTGATTCTGAAGCTCCAATCTCCTGAGTCGTTGGAGAGTCGGATTTTGAAACTATCAATCCAGGCAGTAATTCCTCAGAACGACTCAAATAAAGCCATCGACTTCGAAAACATTTTCTTTCCAAAAGCTTGGAAACGTGATTTTGGAGATCGAAATCCCTTGAGCTGGCCCGCTTCTCCGAATTTCGTGCGGCTAGGTTAATTCCTGGCTGCAAAACTATCGACTTTCTGTGCCGGACTTCTGAATTTGCTTCCTATGCGGAATTACTCAGGAATTTTTCAAGAAAAAGTCGGGCTTTGCCTAAAACATTTATTTTGTTTAGCTTCAAAATGTTGGTTTTTCTAAGCGCATTTTCTACGACGGATTTGCGCCGTTTTTTCGGGTTCCACCCAATTTTGACATTTTCGATGCGGGCCAAAAAAAGTCTGATATTCAACAACTGTTCCAACGCAAATTATACAGCAATTTTCATAGTGGAGCCGCGCTCCACTCAAAACATTTTTTTTTGCATACTTCAAAACTCAAAACCTCGAAGTTTTTTAAAGGGACAGGTAAGTGCCATTGGTTTTGAAGCTCGATTTCTCAGAATCTGGCCGATTTCGCAAATATTCCTATCGCGATACACTTTAAAAGTATGTATGAAAAGCGTCGAATTTTGGCGGCTATTAACGCTTAGGAATTATTCCAAAGGTTACGCACCCAAGACGGGGATAGTCCAAGACATTTTCTTTTCAAGGTTAGGAATTGTTAGCTGTTAAGGGACAGTAATCGCATGTGATTCTACAGCTCCCTTTTTCTAGTTCCGAGCAGGGTTGGTCACGAAAAGAGCGGGAGCTGGGAGCGGGAGCCGATTTGCGAGCCCCGCTCAAGAGCGGGAGCGGGAGCTGAAAATCTTTAGCTCCCGCTCAGCTCCGGCTCTTGAGCCGGCTCTTTTGGAAAAGAGCTAGAGCCGAACCCCGCTCAACTCAAACCGGATCCTGCAAATCAGATATCTATGCAAATAAGGCAATGCAAGGTCAAAAATACTCAATTTTTTTGGAATTTGGGGATATTTGCATAAATAACTAATTTTCGGGGAAGCGGGAGCTGAAAATCTTCAGCTCCCGCTCGGCTCCTGCTCCCGCTCAGCTCCGGCTCAGAGCCGGCTCGCAGAATGACCAACCCTGGTTCCGAGCAATTTTGGCAGCAACATATCCAAAAGGAAACGTTTTTCAAAGGACAATCAAAGTCATCCGTTTAAGAGCTCAAATATTTTTATCCTTATTCGTATTCGTATCAATTCGGAGTAATACCGACACTAAAAATTATGCATTAAAACGTGGAGTTTTGGTGCCCTAACTCAAGTAGAGTCATTATTTAAAAAGTTGCAAGGCGGACAATCGGCTTTTCGAAAACATTTTCCTTCAAATAGCTTGAAATTATACCGTTTTTACGGTATTGCGACCACATATGATTTCGAAGCGCGAATTATCCGATTTTGTCCAATTTTGCTATTTTTGATTAATTTCCAGACGAAAAAAGAAGTAAATTTTGAAGTCTGGATGGACCACGTATTATTAAGAAACTTTGAAAGCCGAGCTCTGCTTCACGCTAAACATTTTCTTTACCAGGGTACAAAATGGTGGTTTTTTAATGGGAATAAGCGGCATTGGTTTTGAAGCTAAAATTTGCAGAATCCCGTTCACTTCTCAAATAGTCGGATGATAATGCACACATTTCAAAATTAGGTAGCAACCAGGGTTGAAAAGCCGCTTCGCGACTTTTCAACCCTGGCCCCGTCTGACCCTACAATGTTCTTCGCCTTACATAATTTTCCTGAATCCACGAAAAACGAAAAGACGCTCCCTCTTTCCGATTATATAGGCTATCGCCATTTCCGGCGTATGCTAATTATTTCCTATCAAAGAGGGGTGTCCTATTTTTCAACAAAAACTTGTATTTAATGTCAAAAATAGAACAATTTGCACAATCTGATAAGCGTGCAGTCATCTTGGAGCCATTACGCATCTAATGGCGTATCAAATATAGCTGCTTAAGGCCATTCCCCTCTTGAGATATCCTCCGGACAACCTGACGGAAGTTGCATGCAAATGCACACACACATACACTATTTTTTATATATAGTAGGATTAAAGAAAGGGAGAATTTTGGTGATACGTCCAAGAAGTGATTATTCAAAAAATGTCAGAATCGAACCACAGATTTTGTAAAACATTTGATTGTGAAGCTTCGAATTTAGTCTGTGAACTGTGAAGTTTGTAACTCATGGGGCTTAGCTTTAACAAAGGCTTTGTTTTACACCAAGTGACGTATGACCCTACCCCACCGGATGCCTGTTCTCTCTGTCTCTCCCCCCTATATTTAGGAGTCCGGTTCCCCGGGCATTCACTTGGGCCTGTGAGTGTATACCATCTATGCTCACCAAGACCAATAAACCATCTAAAACGCTATGGAACCGTTAAGGGAACAATTGCACGCCTAAATCATATTTCCCTTACAACCGTAGGACAAATTATTCAAAAATTTTCAAAGTTTAGCAGTGCTTTACCCAAAACATTTCTTTCTCAAAAGCAAAAATGTTCGGTTTTTTAAAGGGCAGGCAGTGCCACGGGTTTTTAAACTCGAATCTTTTTATCTTTGATCAAATTTACCTTGTCGGAGGCCCAACCGACTCCAAAAAATATGAATAAGAAGAACATCGAATTTTGTTGGATTTTCTTAATTCATTATTTTTACATACATGAATTATTCCGAATTTTTCAAGGTAGAGCAGCGCTTGGCCCAAAACATTTTCTTTACAAAGCAAAAAATGGTTGGGTTTTTTAAAAGGACTGGCAAGTGCGCTATCGCCAGGAAAAGCCATTATTAAAGATATGCAAAACCTAACCACGGATTTTCTAAATTTGATTATGAGGTTTTTTCCGATTCCCTGCAATTTCGCCATCCTCGAAGGAAGCATTATAGAGAAATTTTCAAAGCCGAGCCGCGCTTTACCCAAAACATTTTGTTTTAAAGGACAAAGATGCTTGTTTTTTCGTTAAATTTAAAAGTAAAATTGGGACTGCAGCGTGCATCTGTAAAATCTCGGAGCTAACAAATATTCGTATTATAGTAAACGCGTTAAAATTAGGCATTAAAACGTCTGGATGATGGTCGAAGGAGCATTATGCAGATGTTTACAGACTCGAGCCAGGGATAGTCCAAAACATATTTTTTTTCAGTGGCTTGAAACCGTTCGTTTTAAAGGGATTGTCAAGCGCAAGATTCGGCCACTTTCTCCGCTTTATTTTCTCGCTACTAAAAGCCAAATACTAAATTCAAATTCTTAAAAATTCCAAAGCTATAAAAAGTGGTGCAGCGCATCACGTAAACTTTCCCGGGCGCTGTTTGCAAAATCACGAAACATTGTTCCAAAAAAACCCAAAATCAGACTACGGGGCGTGAGGCTCTTTTTTCGTACACAGACAGTGAAAAAATTACATTTTGACATGGCATTTTTCGACACCATTTTTTGAAACCAATTTTTTTAGAAATTTGTAAAAATGCTTACTTGATGTCGATGGGACTTCAAAGTCGTCGATTGTCGTCGTCTCCATTATGCAATGAAAACTCCTGCAAAAATATGGGGTTATATCCGGCATATAATTGCTAGAAGGAAATGGAAAAATATGAAAAGTTACGAGGACGAGATTAGTGAAGGATGCACTATTCAGGCAACTGCACCGCGAAATTTGGAAATTTATGGAACATTTGCTTTTCACAAAACCATTCGATCGGAGCTTCATGGGCTGAAGTAAGTTTAAAGGACCCGGCAAGGCAAGGCTATGGATTTTGTTTGCTGTGTATTTTGCTGGCTGGACATACCCGACAGGATTTTCCTCTTTCGCACCACGCAGCGCGCACGCCCCGCGCATGGATTACAATTTTAGTTCACGACCGCTTGAAGACGCGACGGCTTTGCGTAAAATAATCGGGATGAAAGACAGCTTCGATTGATTGAAGCACTAAAT